CTAGCTTCGATGTTGCTGCGGGCAATGGCGAGGTTTTTCTCTTGATTGACGCAATTTTAATGGCTATTGGTGAGCAGGTTTGATTGTAAATTGATTTCCTCGCCTGGCGACGTCGTTTTTCCTTTCCTCGATTTCCGTCGTTTTGCGACTGTCTGAGCCTTGTCTGCTTTTTTGTGTCTAAGTTTTCTTATCGATTTTTTAGTTAGAACATTGACTAGTTATTTATGCGATTTTATATTGGCTAAACACTGAACACTTATTAAAGTTGAAATTTAATTTATTTATTTACTTTTAGTTTTTAATTTGCAGTTACTTAAGCACACACATCAATAGACACAATATATTTGTATTTGGTTTTTGTTTATTCAAGCTAAGCTTTTTTCAACTAATTTTTTATTTTTGGTTTTATGGCAATTTGCTAAATCTTTTTCACTCACAATTAAGCTAGTTTTATATACGTGTTTTACTTTTAAGCTAGAGTCACAAATTTAATTTGGTTTTTATTTTTATTTTAAATTTATTGTCTCTATTTATCGCTTAGAGTTCTTTCTATATATTTATTTTAGTAAAATAATACTGTAGATCTTTTTGCTTTGGTGTTCACTTTGAAAATTTCTTTAATATTTACTTAATATTTTTTGTTTTTTCTTTTCAGAGTTTTTAACCCTTCTTAGTTGTTTTTTTTTCTGTTTTTATTTAGAGTTCTTAGTTGGCTAAGATTCGTAGGAATTTTTGTGCTGACAATTGTTGCGCTGAGAGACTGGAATCCTTGGACTACTTGAAGTAGTGAGTTCTTGAGCAGAATATTTCGGTTTAAACTTCTAGATGTTCACGCTTTTTGTAAATAATACTGAACTTCACTTGCACTTTGCACTTCCCGATTCTCTCAGTGGCTAATATGTATAAATATATTTTTGTAAATCATGGACAGAATGAACTGACTTCGACGCAGATTACGTATACGCACGGGAAAAATGGAATATATATTTAATGCAGAATCTGAATCTTGCGGTATGGCTTTTAAAAACTTTTTTTATCTTTTCTTTCTTTCTTTCGAAAAACACAAAATGGCGAGCTTGCACTGTGTGGAAATGATGTGTGTTTGCAGGACGACTCCTTTGGGGGCTCCTCGCTTGGCTGTTATTTTATTTTCTTTGTTTAGTAGGATTTATTGGGCTTGAATTTGATTTCGATTCGATTCGGTTTTTTGGCTTCAGACTTCAGGCTGTCGTCTCTGGCAATCTCTGTGATGTGCTGGGGCTCTGGTGGTCGCTTTCCGCTTTGTGGTGTGCGCAAAATGAGGAAAAGGCGTTTGTAACTGAACTTGACAATCGTCGAATGGATTCTGAATTTCTCATTGAGTAAGGTTTTTGAGTAAGGCCCAGAGCCAGGCAGTTTCGCTTCGGTTTCGCTTCGGTTTTTGGCACGATGAATCGTAGACACATCGCACATTGCATATTGTTGGAGGAGCCGGCAAAATTGTTTTCCCAGCAACAGGATCCACAAGCCGACGCAGGCGCATTGCTCAAAGGCGTTTCGTCTGGCATTCAGCGCTGCATTTTATATTTTGGGAGTCGGAGAGCCCGGAATAAATCCCCCATCCATCCATCCATTCGTCTGGATGGTCAGCAGCTTCTTCAATTGAAATGCATCCCCAGCCTATGCGGTCGCAATTACCTTAACAACTTTCTGTTCCTCCGTCTTCACTCGATGCAATTGTCAACATTGAATTTAATCACAAATTACTACGTGACCAAGCAAGCACACACACAAACTTCTTATAAGAAATATATAAATATTTTGTTGAGAGCAAACTTTTTAGCGCACAAACTCAAATACTGTAAAGTTTTTCGGAAACATTTTTCGGTTGGCAAACTCAAATAGAAATTGCCAAAAGGAAAATTATAAGAAGAGGGGGAAAGGAGTAGGAGAAAGGTAAACGCAAAAACTGGGGTAGGAAAAGCAAATCAAAGAAGTGTAAATGATATTTCCTTTTGGATATTTCCTGTAGTATTTAATTTCCTAATTACTGAAGAGGGAGCAAGGAAATACGACTGACAAGAAGACTGAGAATGCTCGAGGGAAAATATTTTGATTTTCTGAAGTATCTGGTTTATCAAAAGGATTAGTTTAAATGAAATTTATTACAGTTATCACTGAGAAATAAATTGTATTATATTGAATTATTTTATTTAGTTTATTGTAATATTTTGATTTATAAAAATGGCCCAGTGTTTTCACTTTTGCAATGCAATTTCAGTTTTGCCGCAAAACAAAAGAATTTATTTTTATTTCTCCACTTAAAAACTTTTTGAAAATTTAATATCCAAAACTCTTCTCAAACTCGACATTTACAATCTCTTCTCACGCAAAACTCTCGCCCATTGCCATCACAAAGTGCGGTCCAAAGTAATTTTAAATATATATATCTTCCCTTAACTCCATAAACTTCAGAGCAACTTGCCCGTTTCCTCTTTTATTTATTTACTTTCCTTTCTTCATTTTTCTGTGTAGGACACAAAATGCGAAATATAATTTTCATTCCAGCCACAATAACTGACGTCGACTGCGGGCTGCGCTGACTAAGCGCGACTGTTTACAATTTTTCCGTATTTTTCCCCACCCATCCTCAACCCTCAATGAATTTTCTTTTTTTCAGCATTTTTTATTTTGATGTGGTCTGCCAGAATGTTTTTGTTGTTGCCGTGAGTTGAAAGCTGTTTAAATGAAAGAACGTTCCCGTGGAAAGCCAAAGCAAAGCAACGCCTGTTGGCCATTAGAGGATGCCAAATAGATGTTGCCTACAAAGCGAGCACACCTGGAGGGATTGCAGGTGTGTAGGGGAGGCATTGGGGATTGGATTGGGCTACCCAAAAACGCAGCAAACGAGCAACATCAGCCCCAGATTCGTACTATACCCCGTCTCTCAGTATTATGCCGCAACAGCTTTGAATAGTTTATTATATGGAGTACATATAGAAAACATATACACCGGGGAAATAAATGGAAAAGCTGGTAAAATAACACGTAGATAATAATATTATATTGATTCATATTAAATAAATATAAACCTTTTATTAATTCCTAAATGTTTATATAAAAAAACAATTATAAGTCGATTTACCCTTGATTTATCGAAATAAAAGAATTTTATTATCGATATCCTTAACGATCAACGCTATAATAAAGAATTCGATTTGCGACATACATATATTAACCAAATTCACGGATAAGCAAACGAAAACATTCTTGTAAATTTCCCAGACTTTCGTTTTTAAAAATCCCTATATAAATACAAAACTTATATTTTCCAGTGTGCCCATTAGGGCGGTCCACATTTGTATGGAAATTTTTAAGGTCCTACTCTCACCCGCTTATACGATGCGCATTGTGGTATTCAAGGTATACCAAAAAAAAATTTTTTTTAAATCGTGTTTTAGGGCCTGCGAATTGGTTTCAAAGTTTATCACCCATACGCACTGTTGCCTTCGATCAAAAAGTTTTTCTGATCAAGGTGGCATAGATATCAACAATTCAGTTGATGTTTTGCTCTCCTTTTTTTACCAATTATTCCAACGAAATTCATAATTTGACAAGACAAGAAATGGGAGAACGATTTTGTTCGACCAAATTCGAACTGTTATACATGTCGTATGAGTAATTTTAAAGAAAACTTTGAAGACGTTTCGCAAGGTCTAAATCTCAAAAAAAAAAAATTTTTGTTTTTACATACATTTTTTGCATACTTTAATATACCATGTTAAGGGGTAAGAAAAGAATTTCATTTTTTGGACCGCCCTAGTGCCCATATAACACGCAGGTAAACCGGATTTCGTCAGTTGAGGAAGGACGAAGGGGACTACTTACAAATGTTGCCTTTGTGTGATTCCCATTTCGTGTTTTCCATTTTCCATTTTAATTTTTTTTTGGTGCGTTGTTGGTGTTTAGAAAGCAAATGCATAAATTATGATGGAAATTTCACAATGCACAAAAGCCCACACCCCCTGAAAAATGTGTGTAATGCCATTGAAATTAGCAAAAAGGAAATCCAGCTAAAATGGTCCTTTCTTTGGGGCCCCTTTTTCTATGTGAGTAGGTGAGTGTGTGAATAATGATTTATCAGGTACGAGGATAATGGGGCACTATTGCCCCGATTCTCTCATCGAAAATCGAGATTAGACTGCCTGCACTGCAACTGTCAGCAAATTGATGGAGAAAATGGTTAGAAGAAATCCATATCATTGCCAGGCCAATGGCAGTCGCATCAGCGGGAGCAATTTTCCACTCAAATGCGTACTCTGCCCCCCATTTTTCCCCACTGATTTTCCCACACATTTTCATCCCGCATTTCCCGGATTCAAACGACTCTGCGTATGACACATGTCGATTGCAGTGGCGCCCCCTATCGGCCGCAAGGCAAAAATGGCGCCTTCTATGTGGAAAGAAGCATCAGAATCAGAAATCATCAGCCTGAGTCCGATTTGAATGAGCGATTGAGTGAGTGAGTGACTGTGTGACTGACTGACTGACTGGCGGGAGTGCGAGCGAGTGGGCCGTTTGATTGCTTGATTGATGCATGGAGCCATTGATTGATTGATGCCTTTGTTGGTCTTTGATTGCTTAGATGTTAGGCCAACACTTTTTATACCAGGCTATTTCGAATTGGTTTCGAGTTTTGATGGGGTCAGGCGGCTTTTTGAACTTAATTGATCTACATTGAGGTTTATTAAAGATCATCGAAGCAAGTATACCATAGAAGTACAAATACCACGTAGGATCTTGTGATTTAATTATTGTTAAAAATTCTTAAAAAACTTAAATAATATAATAAATGATAAATATGAAGATCTAACTCTCAAGTTTAACTTTTGAAAAATATTTTTTTGATTCGGATTAATTTTCTTAAAGCAAATATTTTGACCCACAAATGATAGCTGACCAATAAATAATAATCTAAAATTATCCACCTTAAATATAGATGTGATTTGTGTTCAACTTACGTTTGAATAGGTCTGGGATCTCGGAATTTGGGGCGGCAATTGCTGGTTGTTCGAGGGTCCCCTCATGCTACCGCCTCCTCCTCCCCCTCCTCCTCCGCCACCCTGCTGCTGGTGGGGCGGACCACCGCCCATCTGTTGCTGCTGCTGAAGGGGCGGGGCCGGGCTGTATCGTGGATGCATTGCGAAAACGCTTTTCTTAAACTGTTTTCTACTTCTTAGTTAATAGCACTCTCAAATTGACTCGCGACTGCAATAGAAAAAGGGATGATTAAGATAAAGCAGATTAGAAGAGGCGAATCATGGCAGCGATTAGAGTGTTTTTTACAATTACAAATATTTGAGAAGTGTTTTATAGTATTCTTAACACTTCCTTTTCGTATTTTTGCTTAGTCAAACTCTAGTCTTCTTTTTTGGTTGGAGATAGCAATCTTTGTTAGAGAGGAGTAATGGTTTCATAAGTGGCAAATATTATATTATAATATTATATTATAATTCATTCCTAATTTCAATTCCTTTTTTTTGCAACACTAATTTTTTGCCTAAAACATTTTTTTTAAAGGTATTTAAAAATGACCATAGAAAAGATTATTTCAAAATATTTTTTGGGTAAGAAGTTTTTTTATTTAATAAGATTAAGTAATTCCAAAACTTTACAGCTAATTAACACCTGTTACTACTTTTTTCTACTCCTTCTTTTTCAGTCCAATTCGTTGACTCTGCCTGCAGCTCGGCAACACTGTTGACTGCACTTTTTGGCTAGCTCTCTTTCTCGCTTTCTCTCTATTTATATCGCTCTTTTATCGCATTCTGTGCCATATCCAGATCGTTTTGCCGTGTTTCTAATTTGTAATTAATATTTCACTTGCAACTTTTTTTGATTATTTTCGGCACCACTTGGCCTGCTGTGTGGTTTTTGTTGTTCTTGCAACGGAGCACTTCAGCGAGTTATTTTAGCACTATTCCCGTCTCTTTCCCGCGCTGCCAGTTGCAAAATTTGCATTTTGGCATTAAAAATAGCACACAGCCAGCCAATTTTTGTTGTTTTTGCAAATTTATTTTTACGCTGCCAGACAGGCACAAATGCACACACACACATACAGGCACTATAAACTTATTGATATGCCGAGGGAAATTATTCAATTGCAAATTGTTTTTACGCTATAACTTTTTATCAATTGCACTTGTTGTATTTTTTTTGTTATTGCTTATTTAAGGACAATGACAGCGCAGCGAGAGAGGAAGAGAGAGAAGTAGCAAAAGAGCGCAGCAGCAAAAGAGCGGGAGAGAGCGCCGGCAAAGAAGACAACAAGTGAGCAAAGCAAAAGTGGAAAAAAAGACTATTTGCACTACGATAAGATTTAAATAATTACACTAATCACAATCGCTTTCTTTCTCTCCTGCTCTCTCGGAGAACATTTTCAGTCATTCTTAATTTTATTATTGTTTTTTTATGCACTGCCGTTCGTATTTATGTATTTTTATGCCATTTCTTTCTTTTTATCGAGTGCATTGCTCTAAAACAACAACATTCGCTTTCAATTAGCTGAGAGCTGCAAAATGTTGTTGTTTTTGCCATTGTTACGTCTTCTGCTTTGCGGGGCTTCCAAAGGTTGTTTTTCTTTTGGGTTTTTTGTTCGTTTTTCCTTTAGTTTTTAGTTTAATGCTGCTTACTTATTGGAATTTGTTCGTTTTTATTGTTGGCCTGTCAGCTGCTGTCGCTGCTTCTTCTTCTTGCTTCTTGTTGCACGTTCTGTTTTTTAGCACACAAACGCACGCACACACACGCAGGGTCGCGCACAAACACAAAACACACACGCACGCACGGGCACACACACACACAGTTAGGGCACACTTTTTTTGCACTTGAAAGTTTGTCCGATTTCGTTTCGATTTGTTCCGCCCTTTTCTTTGTTGCTTCCTTGGCTATTTGTTTGTTGCTTCGTCACGCGCTTTAATTTATATATTTATGCAAAATATTACAACGACAAAATATAAGTTTGCGCAGCCGAAAAAAACGAAGAAAGCGCAACGCGACAGCGACGGCAATTGAGTGGGAGTGAGAGAGCGCAAAAAGGCGAACCGATTGCGCGCTCTCTCGTTCGATTCGCTCTCTCCTCTCTGCTTCACATATAATCAAATTGATGGTGGTCTTTTTATACACTTTCTTTGTTGTTTTAAAATAATTATAAACTTACCTATATTTCTTGTCTTCTATTTAAGAAAACTCACTATGAAATATGGAAGATCGATTCAGTGCTGGTCAGTGTGTTTTTTGAAAACAGTGTTGGGATAGGACACATATTCCTATTTTGGGTAAAGTAGTCATTAAAACGTAAGTGTATTAAAAACGTAGTGTAATCAAAACGTAACTCGGGTTCTCCGAGAGTAACTTTGGGAGTTGAGTGGAGAGAGCCCCCAAAGCGAACTCGCTCTCGTTCGCTGTGTGCTCTCCTCTCTGCTACGCCGGCAAACTTTGCTCTCCTCTCTCGCCTCTCACAAAGTATATTTGTTGCTGTTGCAAATTCGCAAATAGAAATTTAAATAATTAACTAAATGCAAATGGCAAAAAATACTCAACGAAGCTACAAAAATACAAATAAAATAAAAAACAAGCACGAACCTCTATACTAAAATGAAAAGTAACAAATTATTCGGAAACGCCTTAATGTTGGGATATTTTTATGACATAAACTGCGGTATTCAAAATTAAAATACCAAACTCTTACACCTACCTACAAAACGCAGAGGAAACTTTGTAAATACCAAATAAATAGGCAAACCCACTGTTTTATTACTATAACAATTTATTTAACAACTTAAAAGAAATTATTTTTAATTATTTTTATAATACACAAATTTTAGGAATATTTTGATATTTTAAAAAATAGTTTATTTAACATTTGATGGTCAACACAAACACCTCTTAATCCTTTCAAGGATTTTCTTGTTTTAAAATATAAAAGATTTATAGTTCTTGTGTTCTTTATTAAAATAATTATTATTATTTAATTAAAAATATAAATTAATTCATTTTAATTAAAAGCTTAGATACTCCAATGTTAAATTTGTGTGCATTTTAAATGTAACCTTCTACGAAGCGTATTCTTTCCGGAAAATTAAAATTTTCTTTCTTCTCCTCATTTGATATCTCTTCTGACAGTTTCCGTTTGGCATGGGTTTTAATCCCATTAGCTCAGTTCATTACGCAAATGTCGCAGAATAAAATGATTAAAATAAAAAAGAGGGGACCGAAAAACTGTAAAGCCAGCAACTTGTGTGTTATTTTGAAATATTTAAATAAAATTAATATTCTCAACAAGTGCGTCGCATAAAAGTGCGACACCCACCACACATATCCGCCCACCCACACACGTCCTTCCGCCCACTTTCCACCACCCACATTCCGCCGCCCCTCAGCTTTTGGCACATAACAAAGGACTAAGGGACTAAACAAATGATGCATGATGACGACAACGAAAAATAAGGAGACAGGGGGTTAAAACAGAAAAAACGAGATGAGAGTGACTCCCACGCATTGTAAAGCACTGCCACGCCCACCGCCCACTTAAAACCCACCCAATTTGACAGCGGCGGTCAACAAAATAGTCCTTAATTATTTAACAAAGTTTTAGGCGTATGCAATGTCTGGGAAAAAAGTAGCTACAATCTACTTATTAAAAAAATGTGTCTTCTAACTTCGTACACCATTATTTTAAATTTTTTTATGTTAATCTTCAATTGATTTTCAATAATATTATTTTTTTACATATTTTAGGCAACTTTTATTTTAAGTTCCTATTAACATGCCCTCGTCTGTAAAAACTCCACCACCATAACACACATATATGAAGACAGTCTGTAAACAATGTTATGCCACTCCCTCCGCCCCCCCAAAGCCTACAAACAATAAATTTGCAATAGCAACGACAAAATTTGAAGAATGGGCCAGGACCAACGAACAAGAAGAAGAATCAGGAGCAGACAGAAAGGACAATACTCGAAATGAAATTGGAACGCAGAAAGATGGGCAAAAAAAAACCAAATGGAAATTCAACAAAACATGCAAGGAATTTAAATTTATCTTAAATATGTAAATTTAATGACACTATCGAGATATGCAAATTTCCCAAAGGCAGCGGCAGCAAAAAAACAAAATAGAACGAAATTGGAGCAAGAAATCAACAAATTTCGAAACAGTGAGGACTGGACAAAATGGATAAAGGGTATTTAAGATACAATTTAAATTATATATTATTTAAATTAAAACTAATGTTTCGTCAAAATAAATATTACATGGCCAAATAAGACACAATTTTATAATCCTATTGGAACTAAACTAAATTTGCGATAATATACAAAATATTTAATTACAAGTTTTATTATTTTCGAGACACTACTGTGCTTGAAAAATGGAGCAAGAAATCAAAAAATGCCAATAAATGGAAAGATGGGGTAGAAAGTAGGAAAACGCAGACTCTAACGCACAGTGGGCTGAAACACTTTCGCCTAAAACGCATGAAAAATAACATATTGGGGGAATGGGGAAAATGGTATGCAAGATGGATAGCTTCGGGGGGCGGAAAAACTTGCCTGCGGAAATCAGGAGGACGGGCAAGAACAGCCTCTCTGCGGCCAAAATGACGACGCGTTGGTATTTTCATTAAGTTAGGCACCATTTTCCTTTTGTTACCCACTCCCAACCCCATTTTAACTCACACCGAATGCTTTTCTTCATCCATATTTTCCTGCCTCATAGTGAGAAAAAATACCAAATTAAATTAAAATATTTGAAGATCTTTTTGAAAATTAATAAAAAACTTTGGAACTACAAATTGTTTCTTAAGAAAATAATAGTAATTTAAATATATTTATACATTTTTATAATTTCAACAAAAATGTTTTTTATTATTTTGTATTTTTACAAGAAAATCACCACAAATACTTGACTCCTTTCAATCAAATTTAATCAAATCAAATTTAAAAAACACAATTTTAAATATTCAAATAATTTTTAATAAATTAAAAAATTTTTTTTTGTGCTAAGTAATAAATTTAAATGTAAACATTTAATGTTGTAGGTTAAATTTTCGCTCAGTGTAGAGTTTCTTGGCCACCGCTTGAAGCGCAAAAAATTCTTGTCGCGCAACAGCAGCAAAAAGGAGGCAACCAGAAGTTGGGGCATTTTGGCGGAGGAAGCGAGAGGAAAGACCGCTGCTACGTGACCGTAAGCAATTTGCAGTGTGGGGGGAAGAGGCCGGGAAAAGTGAGTGCGGTGGGTGGGAAAACAGGGTGGGCACTCCTCGCTGCGTAATCGCATCAAGAAAGTGAAATGTCAGCTGTTTCCATCATCTTGGCGCTGCGCCTCTGTCGGCATGTGACTGCCAGGAATTCAAGCTAGTTAAAAATACAAAAAAAATAGAGAAGGGATAGGGATAAGGGTCCACAGGGCAGGAACTAGAACCACTAGTTTCCCAATGGAATGCATTGTATAGGTCACTGCGTAAGGACCAACAAAAACAAAAAAACAATAGGAAAAACTACAGAACCAGAAGAAGTGAAGTGTAGGAAACGCTTTTGTTGGCGCGTGATCTAAGGATAATTTATGACTCGCCCAAGGGGAAGAAGAGTGCGAGCGGGGGTGCAGAGGTTGTCACAGGACGGGACTGACTTTGAGATAAGGACCGCTCAAGGCGAGCTCGAGAATTTAAATTCAATCAAATTGCAGTCAGTAATTGCTCGGCCATGAATAGGAAGCATCGCAGTTCAAGGTTTTCCAACTCAAAAGTCCGCAAATTAAATGGAAGTGAATATAAATTGTTCAAAGAGTTTAATTATAAGTATTTAAATAATCAAATATGATGTCGCATAAAAATAGAAAATATAGAAATGGAAAAAAAACAGGTACATATTTTGTCCTACTAAGTATTTTAACTCTTTTTTTCATTTAAAATAAATTATAATTTTGATTGCCAATAAATGTTTGAATATATTTAATTTCAATACATATATTTAAATGCTTGAATTTGTTCCCAGAAATATTGAAAATTTCTTTGAGTAAGTGTACTCATAATGCATATCACCTACACCTTTAAATTGAATATAATTTTATTTATCAAACATAATAGCCACATGTCATTAGCAGTACAGCACCAAAGCAAATAAATCCCCAAAAACGAAATGTCCCCATCCCCAAAATTCAACTCTCTATCAATGTCTTTCGATTTGGTTTTCGATATCGCATTAATATGTTCACAAACACACATCAAAGAACGAACACCGCCCACCCCCAATATATCTGCAATATATTACGTTCATAATCCATTTTCGCCCCAGCAGACATTGAATGTCATTGGCAAAATTAATTTATATAAAATGACATAGATTTAATATGCGAATGAAGGAAGAATATTGATGTTGGCTTCCCCTATTTTCCTTCCACCCTCTGAGCTCTGAGCTCCACGATTTCCGCGTAATTACCTCTATATATGTGCGTGGAGGGGAAAATCGGAAAAAGAAAAGCGGGAAAGCCACCATGGAGCAAAGCCAAAATGGCGGCGTCGCCGGCTACATCATTATCGCCATCATCGTCGCCAAGACATCGTTAAATTAAATCTATTGTCGACGCATTCAATGTGCATATAAATCATTTATGGTCTTTCAGTCTTTTCAGAGGGCCAAATGCAACAGTCGAAGGGCGGCGCAAATGTAGACATTACAACAATTTATTATTTAATTATCTATGCCGCAAAATTTTCATTCACAGGCCGCAAACTCAAAGCTCAAACCACCCAAAAAGCCACAGTAAAGACATTAAAGTGCACCACCCACACAAACCCACACACACTCACAGCCACAGTGAAAACCCCCTTGAACAAAAGGAGAAGAAAGCTGGGGCTCTGAGCATTTCATAAAATTTGATTACAGTGAATGCGTAAAGTTTACGACCAAGTAAAGGGAATTAACTGAAAGTGGCAAGGCGCTCAAACGCACACACATGTGGCGGCATCTGTGGCTTTTCTTGCCTTTCCTTAACTCTAT